TGTTTGCCAGGTAACACCAACTAGGGCGGATAGAGAAGCAGAAAGAGAAACAGAAAGAGTGTTTGGAAATTTGCACCCTCAGCAATTTTCTACCTGCCACCAGGAACGAATATGCTAAACACCTCATTACTCCACACTTCACGATAAGCGTGTGCATCCATAAATTCCTTCATGTAGCCATTTCGCTTTTCATTCTTCTTTTCGTAGGAAGAAACATCTTCTGCTGACGGATCCGGCCAGTTACTGCTCGCGCCAATCGTCTTTATTTTTTGCATGATCACAACCGGCAACACTTTTGTCTCTTCATATCCTTTGTACAATTCCGTTTTAAATGTTTCTGCCTCGTAAAGCCAGGGATACGAATTGCGCATATACGGCCTCGTGCGTGTAGCATAGTTTAGCATCGGAACACACTGGTATGCGAGCATATAATCATTGGGCTTCAGATGTTTTTCACTTTCCACCAGCATTTCATTAAGCGCCGCCGCCCGTTCAGGCGTAGTAAATATTCCGCGCAGGTATTTACTATTAATAGAAGCAGTCATTTTAGTCCTCTCATGCCTGTCGAAAAACGGGTAACGCCAGGTATAATAAAGGCATGCGATGATCGCGATGACGACAGTCCAGTTCATGATCGATTGTAACTGTGTTTGACCAAGCTGTATCGTAGTTTGATCGGTAGTAGATGTTCTTGAAACCTTTATCTGCGTATCCACTGCCCGAACGCCGAACAGGTAGTCAATCGCAATAGGAAAGGAAAGCCAGATCGAATATATGCCTACAGTAAACAGACCGGCGGAACTGCTAAAAGGATAGGTGACCAGGATATAACAGCCCATCAGTGAAAGTAGTTTCAGGTCGTTTTCTGTTTTGGTAAAAACTACTAGTGCCGTTGTGATCAATGCCAGCCCGGAGAAAAAGTATAGAATAAAGTCTTTCTCCATTCGACCCGTCAATATCCATGCGCAAAGAAAGAGGATGAGGACATACTTCAGTATGTCAACGATCCACTTACGATAGAGCGGATATTTTTTGACA